GCTCCACCACCGCAGTGCACTGAGCCAGGTTCGTGAACAAAAGACAGTTATACAACACCGCACAATCTGGGCTCTGTTTACAAGGCTGCAGGCCTGGCTGAAATACTCGGGCATCAATGAAGGTCACCTATCAACTTGAGTAGTGCCTGAAGATTACTTCGTGTGGCTATAAACGACCGTTAGATGAAATGATGAATTTTTGAAGGATTTTGAAAACGGAAAAAATGATAGTCATGCCGACCCAGCATCAACAACATTGAAAAATGCCCCGGCACGAAGTGGTTAACAATGCAGTGCGTACATACAGGAGATTTTCAACATTTTCAGTTTTCAAAATTCCTCACAAATTCATCATTTCATTTCATGGATGTTTACACCCACACGAATGACTGTTTGGTGGCTACACTAAGCTGACAGGCACCTTCGTTGACTCCTGAGCATTTCAGCCAGGCCTGCCACCCTGTAAAGAGAGCCCAGAATTGTGACTTGTTGCGTAATTTCCTCTGTCCCCAGAGAATGCGTGTGGCATCATTTCAAACGCAGCTGGATTAGCATGCAGCGGTGCCACTGTATGTCGTTCATCAATGGGGCCCTGGAGCACTTTTGTCTGCGGTGCTAATCCGAGGGTGCTATGCCCAAAACAGTGGTTTAGTGTTTAAAAATAGTGACAGATTACCTTCGAAAATGCAAACCAAAAAATGATAGTAATTCCCAGCAGCAGGTCTTTTGTTTCGAGTACTGTCTTTTGTTACACCGACCAGCTCTTTTATCCCATTTTGGGCACCCCGGCTCTGTGTATAAACACATGGTGCTTGAAACGGGGTTCCCCGGCAGCAAGTGGTTAATTACTTTATTTGCAATTGTGGTCAATAAATTAAGAATTAAAGCCTATAAAAGTTATTTAGGTACCTGAAAAACAGTTGATTAAATAAGTTTAAGCATGTGTCGGGAACAGGAAAAACAGCAGAATGATAATTTTTATCTAACAATTTTGTTCATCAATGTTATGTCGTGTTCTGTGACATACCTCTCTAACCGCATCTATGCTATGTGCCTCATCAAACAGTACAAAAATCTCTTAATATGAAATTAGGTGTCCACAACATGTCATGTGGGGTGTGGTGTAGACCACAGCTGAGCTAGTGTAGAATGAAATTGTAAGTCTACAAAAAGGGATTTTATTGATTGTATTGTGTGTACCTATGTGAAAACAAGTGACGTTTGAGTCAAGAACAAGGGAAACACACATTCAGTCAAGTTGGGTCTTGTTTAATTGAAAAATTACAAACTTAAACAATCTTCAATCTGTAGAAACATGTTCTGGGAGAATTTAATTGATGAAATAGTACAACTTCTTCTGCATGCAACGTATGAAACACATTTATGTAACACAGTTGAAAATGGTACCTCTTTGTGAAATTGGGGTGATATTAGTGAGCTCTATCCACACAAATGCCTGGGCAAAATGGTTGAGGGTCTTAAATACTTTCCAATTCCGTTCATTTTTACTAGCTAAACAAATGAATAATGAAAAAAAAGGAGATAATAGATGCCTAGTTAAACTTGAATCCTGCTCTTAGCTTGATATGCTGAGTACCAAAGAAGGAGTGCCAGACCCGATGCTATCACTTCAGTGCCTACTACTGGTCCATGAGACACCCCCTAGTTTGAACAAAAGACAGAAAGTTACAACAGTGCATGGTAATGTAGTGATTATTTCTTTATGTAGCTTTAAGTTGATGAATGTTAATGTTTGAAATCTGTAGTGCATTATTCAGTGAAATACTACTTGACAAGCAGGTCGTAAGGTTGTGACCAAAAAATGAGGGAACATTAAAAAAAAGTTGGAAAAAAGGTATGGTATAGAGATAAGAGAGGAAATGGGATAAAAGTTGCTTTAAAAATATTTCCCCTCCACCATTTAATTAGTTTATCATAAATTATCAATTCTCATCTGTTGCCAGATTTGTTTTATTTTTTCCACTGCAGGTCAAAACTGGTTTTGCCCCCCCCCCGAAAAAATCCTGGCGACGCCCATGTCAATGCCGTGATACCACACAGCCCCCTGGGAAAAAAAACAAAGCAAAAAGTACAATTTAAGTAGAGATGAAAAAAGGTCCAGAAACCAAGCTTACAGACCTTGTGAGCCACATTTATTGTAAAGGCTGGTTTGACTTTGGCAGAATCATCCCCAGCTCTCATGGCCTACAGAGGAAGAAAAATACATTTCCAGGAAAACCATTAACAACATACTACTTTCACCCTAACTGGGAGAGTGAGGTCCTGAAGTGTAACAAGAACATATATAAGACTGGATTTCATATTTTCATATTTGCATTCATATTTTGCATTTGTTCAATTTTTTGTTGTATTTTGGTGCCTTCATTTCTTCACAATGCCTCTAAACCACCCCCAAATAATTGATATTCTCTGGAAGCATGATCAAGAGAGGCAGCTTCTCTGTAATAAGAGTACATACTAGTACATATAGGGGTGATTTCCAGTCTACATTGTATAAGCATGTGCCTTGGGCCAGTGGGGTTCAAGTAACTCCTCAGCTCTTTTAACCACCTCCTGCCGGGGCAGTTATCAATATTGATGATGCTGGGGTGGGATATTTATATTTTTTTTTGTTTTCAAAATTCTTTAAAAATATCTTCTTTTACTGGTCAAAAAACATAAAGGACTGTCTGGTGTCCACTCTAAGCCTGACGGACAAAATCTATTGACGCCCAAGTATTTCAGCCAGGCCTGCAGCCTTGTAAAAAGAGCCCAGATTGTGCGGTGTTATATAACTTTCTTTTGTTCACGAACATGGCTGAGTGCGCTGCTGACCTCTTTTCAATAGGGCCCAGATTAGCGTGCTGCGATGCTGTGTGGTTCATCACTGCGGTGGTGGAACGCTTTTGTCCGCAATGTTAATCCGCTCGCTCTAAATGCCCCAAACCGGGTATACTGTTTCAAAACAAGGCTGGACTATCTCCACTTTTGAGAGTGAAAAAATGTTGGTAATTCCCAGCAGCCTGGTCTTTTGTTCTGAGTACAGTCTTTTTTGTTACAAGGCACTGCTCCCTTTGTCCGAGTCCAGAGACCCAGCCACACATATAAAGCATACGTGTCTGGATCCGGAATCCCAGCAGGAAGTGGCTAACACTGAAAGTATCCTTTTTACCTCATCAACGAGTAAAAATTGTGGTAGGATGGTCTACTAAAATGTAGAATTTGAACCTCACATTGTAGGGGCCTGGTAACAATAACAGACCTCACCTTCACTTGGTTGTTAATTGTCACTAGGCTCCAAGTCAGTTTGAAATGTACTACATGTGCATTGAAACCCTGCTACAGTATAACAAACATGACAAAGTGGACCCACACAAAATGTTTGGTAATAGCAGCCATTCGGTATAGCCATTTCTAGTACAGATGCACACGTCTGTTTCATACATGTGGCAGCCTGCACCACAAAATGTTTTAGAAACCAATGAAGTGTAAGATAATAAAATTCAATTCTTGTATCATGTTAAATTTATGTTCGTCTTATTTCATGTTCCACCCTTTGGGTAGTCTATACTGGGAGTAGAATCAAAAAATGAAATCAAGTCACCGCTTAAAAATCACAGGAAACATGCACAACATTTACACTGGTTCCTACTGATAACATAACACTTCAATAAATTGGCTGCCAGAAACCATTCTAAAGCAATTGCAATGGAGGCACTTGCATGTCCAAAGTTGGCAAGGAAATGTGAGGCAAGCATTCTTGAAAACAATAAAACTTAGAAGAAAGATATTTCTCAAGATTGTTTCCCCCAACGTCTGATCACTTCATTTCTTTCTTGAACTACTTCATGCCGGGGCATTTTTCAATGTTGATGATGCTGGGCCGGCATGACTATCATTTTTTCTGTTTTCAAAATCCTTCAAAAATCCATTATTTCATTTAACGGTGGTTTATAGCCGCACGAAGTAATCTTTAGGCACTACTCTGGCTAAGTGCACTGCTGACCTCTTTTCAATAGGGGCCAGATTAGCGTGCAGCGGTGCTGTGTGGCTCATCGCTGCGGTGGTGGAGCGCTTTTGTCCCTGGTGGTAATCCGCTCGCTCTAAATGCCCTAAACCCTGGTATACAGTTTCAAAACAAGGCTGGTTTATCACCACTTTTGAGAGTAAAAATGTCTGTAATACCCAGCAGCCTGGTCTTTCGTTCGGAGTATGGTCTTTTGTTACAAGGCCCTGTTTCCTTTGTCCGAGTTCGGAGACCCCAGCCACCCATATAAACCATACGGCGCCGATCCCCGAGTCCCAGGCAGGAAGTGGTTAATGAAAAGCAAATTTGTAATGTTTGGTAAAAGTGCAGAGGAAAATCAGGAGCCAAGAGGGATATTCGGTATAGAACTTGTGTTTTTTATAGCAGTTTCCACTGTATTATAAAAGCAGACAATCATGCTTTCATTCCCATTCATAAATATCTTTTTGCTGTAAAAATTTAAGGTACTTTGAAAAGTCATATTTGTCCAATGATTTGTTATCAATTCACCCTATTGAAACACCCCTCAAGTTTCATCTTCTGCATATGCCTCACACACATGGTACAAATATATCTTATCATGTGCTGCATGTCCTAGGTGATGTGATACATAACATAGCTAACTTGTAGAGTGTACAGTAAAATTTTAATTCTATGCAACATGGACTCCATTGTCTTGTGCATGCCTGGGTAACAATGAGAGTTTGAGTCCATAAAATTGTGAAGCTGGTGATTATGATGCAAATTCGGTCTTTTCATTTCTGGGCTTACACACAAAGACCAATTACCATATACACAAGAGCCAGGGTCTGCATTCTTTCACCGTGTGCGCTCGAGCTTGGGCCGAGAATAATAGCTGAAAAGTGGGCCGAGGATCTCAATTTTTACAGGGAGTCTTAACGCGTCCCGGCGTGAAGGGGTAAAGTGCTTGACCAAGCTGCCTAATGTCATTGACTTTAGAAGGGCATTATCAAAAATTATGACAGGTACTTCTATAAATCAAATAGTCATGCTGGAATACGTATCCAGGCACAGAAAAGTCCCATTACTTTTAACTGCTCATTATTCCTTTTGACATCCTTAATATGTCTTAAGCCTTTATCTTGTGCATGAGGATAATCAATATATTTGATACTGATCTCCATTTTGAATGTGACATCAATGACTGGCAAATACAATGGGTGGATCTCAGTATGTTTCATTCAAAACAGAATTTATAAAGATACATGTAATCCTACCTTTCTTAGAGCACTGAATCCTTCCTCGTCATAGAATCTAACATCATAGTTGCCAGGTGGTGCATTTTTGTGATCTTCGGTCCAGCTTACCTGCAATACATTTTTAACTGTTTCAGAACTGATGTGCATTTTTTTAGGTTTGGAAGCATACACGTACATGTTGAACATCACAACCAATTTTTGTACATGTAGGTAGTATCTTCCTGCGGTGAAATCTAGCAACAGTTACTACATGTATCTTGCTGCAGTGAGATAGTAAAGTGCTCTAGTGAGATAATAACTCACAGCACTTCAAACATTTTGCTGGTGGCCATTCTAAGCTTCAACGTATTGTTATTGCAGAATTCAAACAATGGATAAACTTAAAATATAATCATTAAGACAAAAATAAGAGAGCATTTTTGTCCTATTTCATGAGCTTATGCAATATACATGTACATATAAGCCCTTGATACTGGATCAGAAACGAGGCAAGATGCACATGGTGCAAAGCAAGATCCAATTCTACATAATAAATAAATTGGTCAGTCCAATTACTGAGGCTCAACCTCATTCTTATAGCCCTGTAAATACAAAGCAAACAGCTTTTCTTACATATACATGTACCTCTATCAGATATGATCTACATGTGTATCAGTTATTCCAAGAAGTTGTTTACACAAAGTGCAACATTTGGACATCTCAATAGCTACGGTATAAAAGAGGTCCCTCTGAATAACTCAAGTATTACTTACAGGCACTTTCCTTACAACAAACAGCAAACTGTCTGAAATACTAACTGAATCCATTTTTTTTTAGAACCTCACAAAAGATCTACATGGTGCACGTCTCATTGAGCTGTTACTTATGTTGCAGTCTATGTGTGTAATATATATGCATGTATTCCCCAACATACGACTCCACTGAGTAGCCATGATCCAGTGCATTTCACATTTATGTACGACTGTGCAGATAAACATCTGTAGTCGACATGACAACTGTTTTACACATCGCACATCAAAACAGCAAGGTGTATATGTATGCCAAATTTGCATCATAGTTAACAAATTTTTCATTTTAGCCATCGGTGTTTGTTCTCCTCTGATTTTTCATAGACACATCACATACTTTTTGTTTTGTTTTGCTGTGAGTTATCTGTGGAGAAAATGGTGGTAACAGTGCCACCTTGAACATGTGACAACATCATATCGAAACAATTTGTCACATGAAGCTTGTCACATTGCAATGTCAATGACTCTTTTAATGCCATACCTGGTACTGATTGTCTCCAAAACGAGAAACAGGGAGCTGCTTGCCAACAACCTCTGCATTCAAGAATAAGTTCTGCTAACATGGAAGATCAAAGAAGTGAGAAGTTAAATAGATACAGACCTATTTAGATTGTTTCTGTAGAACCATAGGTACTCAACAATTCAAAACATTGTTCCTACATATTAGGATCCATCAATATCAGATATTTCCATAATTGATAAAATCAGCAGTCCAATGTCAAGTATTTTTGATATATCTAATTTTCTCAAAGTAGAGTAAACTGCAGCCAAGGAGCTAAGAACACAGATCAGATGCCAGTGATTTACAAGGTCTTAATTTCTAGTCACAGACATACATGTACGCTGCTGCTATATTGCACTCATATTGGGTCATATGAATAAAAAGTAGCATTTGCTTTTACTACCATTTTTGAAGCATTTACTCTTGTTTGTACGAATAATTATGAAGCAAACGCTTTTTTTTTTAGTGCAATTGCTACAAAGTAAAACTATTTACTTTTTACCCTTTAAGCTTGTGCTTTACAATAAGCAGTTGCTTCATTTTGTATGAATAAAAATGAGTCAGTTCCACAGAACTGGAGTATTTACTTGACATTTTTCAAGACTGGGTCAGGGCAAGCTTGAAAACAAAGTGCATTTACTAATATTCAACACGGCAGCGTTCATGAATGTCACTCGAAAGGAGAAGCTGTACGCCTTAAGGAGGGAATCTCAAGAAACCAGATGCAGGCAGTTGTACTGATTTGAGAATGGTAGAGCAATTTTCTTCATGAAGGTTTTTGCGATCAAAATTACTGCCATCATGCACATCTGCCATGCTGAGGTCCCAAGATACAGCACTGTGCTGCACTGTGTGTGTCTGTACATGCAGACAACGGAAGCCCTATTGTGCAAAACTGTTCAGCTGTGAAGTCAGCCACAAGCATAAAGCATTTGCTACTCTTTGAAAAGCAGATGCTGCACAGTACAAGAAAATTTTATTCATACAAATTCAAGCAATTACTTATTCTTAATGCTTTTACTTCGCAGTAAATGCTTTTGCTATTTGCTTGAACTTCATAGCATTTGCTAGTTTTTATTCATACAACCCAATGTCAAGGAAAAATCAATGTAACATTTACTCAGATTGGAGATTCATTTTGTCAATGAATTGGCCCATGTTTGATATATTTGATATCATTCCCAAAATCTAGATTCTAATATTTCGATAAGATTAAGAGTTCGAAATTGTTGATATCAATTTTTTAGTGGTAATGAACTTTTCCATATCATGGAAAAATCAACATAACATTTACTCAAATTGGAGATTCATTTTGTCAATATTGACCCATGTTTGATATTTTTGATATCATTCCCAAAATCTGGATTTCTAATATTTTAATAAGATTAAAAATTTGAAATTGTTGATATCAATTTTTGAGTGGTATTGAATAATTTAAATATATACTGACAGACCTTACTACATATGATTTTACAATATTACAAAAATGCAGTGCAATAAAAAAATCTGAAATTTTATATTGGTTGTTTTGTGTAGTTATTTATCAACACCGTGTACTGACGAGCGTTGACTGAGGACTTAGGTCAAGCTGACGAGTGTAAATCCAACGTATGACCTCCTGCTTTATCAATGCAGGGATCTTACCACATGACCATCAACTTTGTCAGGGTCAACTGACCTGTTTAAAAGTCAGATAAGCAGCAGATACATGTACTGCAAGAAAGCATTTCGTAAAATGTAGAAAATGATCAGGAAGATGAGAATCCGAACATGTAATGTGCATGTATGTACTAAGCTTGGAATACCTTGGCATTGTTTTTGCAGACAAGTGTGAACTCAATGAGAAATACAGTCTCTGTAGAGCTAGCACCATCGGTTGTTGTGTAGACCTTGTGGTCTGTGGATGCCCCTATACAGGTATCACCTAGAGAGATATTTCAGGAGATGTTTCATCAAACATTTTAGTTACAAAGAAGTCAACATTTCATCTTTAATCAGTTTGCTACATGTTGTGGTAATGATGATGGACCCTTACATGTAAGTCTTATGGCATGACAGCAGCGCAGGGCCTTTATAGCCTTTTCGTTTAACTAAATTGTATAAACTTGAGGTTCTTAAACTGTGTTTTCTTAAATAGTTTTACCCCTCACTTGCAGTTTGTAAATGTTTACCCTTTGTAGTATTGGTTGTTATCAGGATAACTTTCTTTTTGATTATGATTTATTTTAAAGCCAGAAGCAACCCTTCACAATAGGTGTAAATCCGGGGGAGGAACATATCCCCCCCACCCCTACTGCTTGACAAGGGGGACGTGCTACTTGAATCATACTCCAACTCTTTTGTTACGAGAAAAAATTAAAGCTGATCATGATGATTTTTCAGATTCCAAACAACCAAAATGTACATGTACATGTATTCCAAACTCACTCAAAAAGGGAAAGCCATCAAAAAAGTCCCCCTTGGAATTTTGCCTATTTCATAACAAATTCAAACAAAGTCTACATCAGCCACAAAATGCAAGAATTCAAATTTATTTCTGAATCACCTGGACAACTGTCAACAGGTGTGCTTCGGGCCTTGAACTGGAAAATTTTTAGGGCAAGGTTAATGTCGCTTTAAATGATGCAAAATTACAGAGGGTCCCAAGGCCAGACGGTAAAGCAACAAGGCTAAACAATTTCTGCAGAAGGGACACGAAGGTTCCCAGGAAGTGCGACTACAAGTATGGTATTTTTAAGTATCATATGCCTGCAGCATATCTGCATCACATGCACCATGCAGCAGTTCATTATTAATAATGGAATAAAGATATGCTCAGGAGAATGGACACGACTCATGCTTGAGCCACAGATGAAGGCATTATAAGCATTCCTTCTCCCGAGCCGTTACTTTTGACGATCGAAACACCAAGCATGTTACAATTACATGTATCATTGTTTGCCTCAGAAATGAACATTAACGTTCATTCCTGACTTTGCATGATATACATGTACATGTATCTCTTGCTGGAATGTACGTGTAAGTGTAGGAATACATTTATTTCTGCCGCTTAGGTACCTCAACAAAACATTTTGTGTGGTCAAATTTAAAAACTACATGTATTATATCCATAGTGTGCCATAGCTGTCAAGGTTCCCAACTTCTTTACTATATACGTGTACATGTAATGCCATACCTCATTGTGCAGTTGGAAACCATGATGGGTTGATAACAAATAAATAGACCCTCGGCACCATACAGTACCATTTCTTGTACGCCACAGCCCTTAATTCACTTTGGACATGAAGAAGTCTAACTTATAAAATATACATGTAAATCCCTGGTCCCACTTTACAAATTAATTTTGAATGGCTTGACCCTTAAAACTGTGGGTGCTTCTGGAATTACTAAAGGCCCCGCTCCCATGGATAAATGTATATATGTAAAACTGATTTCTTCAAAAAGTTCAACCAACAAAGAAATGCATAAATAAATAGTGCAAACCAGCAATGACCAGTGCACATCTATACTTTTGGGTCACATTATTTACTCAGTTCTTTTTAAACCTAGAAGTCAGCTGTAAAAAGACATGTCAGGTAACCCCTAGAATTACGTTACTGTTACTGCTTCATCCCATCCTTAAAGCTACATGTATACATGAATTTACATATATTACTATGTGCACAAACTTGCAGTGTTTGTGTATAAAAGGCTAAGGAAAACTTCAATTCTGGATGGTGTTTGTACACCAAATGTCTGTCCGCAACCATGTGCTGCCTCAACAGAAAGTGTTCACGTTGCGACACCGCACTCATGTGCACTGGCACCCAACGGCTGTTGCTTGTTGTTCCTGCCATTCGGGCATAATTAATGAGGAGCCCTTTGGTTGGTCAGTGTTTGAAATGGCAGTTGGCTGCAGCCAACTGCCATTTCAACCAACGCAGCTAAGAATTACGCACAGACGTACGGAGGCATCTGCAGCCAATTTCCATGTCTTGTGTATCGATCGCAGCCGTAGTTGACCATTTGGTTGCGGCTCATCTTCGCTAGTACACATGTGAACCGCATGACTCTCGGACACTGATCGGCAAGTATTTTCACCTTTTTTGGGAAAATGACATGGTTTTGGCCCTTCTTTTTCTTGGTACTCAGTATGAAGGTATGTAAGCTACATGTATATTACATAGAACTCTTGGGGGAAATGGAGAAGCATTTCTATAAGCCTCATACTAAGTTATAGCAAACACTGCGTGGGTGATTTTACACAATGGTAAAAAGACATTGTGGGAAGGAAAAAGGAGCGAACAGTGTCCCTTTTCCCTTTCCACAATGCCTTTCTACCACTGTGCAAAATCACCCATACAGTATTTGCGATAAGGCTTACAGTCACACAACCAGAATAAAATCCCTGTTCGTGCCCAGTTAAACGTCATGTAGAGCCTATGGTAAAAAAGGCTCGTTTTCTGAAGGGTTCATGGGATTAAGCCTACACTGATCAGTGCCCGTGTTGGAAGTCCAACACCGATCGTGAGCAAACAGCGATCATTTATCCATTTTCTACACAATTTCAACCAGTTTTTTAAATCCCTGTTAATCAAGACAGGGCCCAGTATACGACGAAGGAGTATTCGTTGGGCCCTGTTTACGGGTCTATCACTGGAAATGCTTTTACTTTTCGCAACCAATGATGAGACAAATGGGCTACATGATGTATATTAAATAGTGACAAGGTCTAGGCATGGAGAAAGGACACAGGGTAGCTACGGCAGACCCGTCTGTTTGCAGACGAAGGCGACATTGTTCCTGCTGCTTCAGTGACATCCGTGTAAGTCTAACGCTTCTTGTCTCATCATTAGAAATCTGTGGTTCGAAAGAACCAAAATCGTTCAATTGGAGAGACCTACCAACAATAAAAACCGGAGATGTAAGAAGAATAATGGCCAGCACTGATATTACACTCAATGAAGCCATGTTGCCAGAGGACATGTACAATTAACATCGTCCCCAGCGTAAATCACTTGACTTCCAAGGGCCTACTGAGTACTACACGAGACTACGGGGACGAAGTTGCAACGACACGTATACATTTTGAAGGAAGCCCGAGATATGGGCGTGCGATATCGGGGTACAGTCCCATTAATTCAAGCCCAATTGAAAACACTGTAAATCAGCAACACGCACGCCAACATCCCTGAGATTTCTGAAACACAAATGAAATTCTTGTCTCGTCACTAATCTTTCAATTTCTTTTCAATTTTTGTGGGTTAGCCAATTACATTTTTAATTATTCCCAGGCCCACAAAACAAACTCACCCCCAAAAATAGTTTCCGAAGTCTGATTGCAGCCATTTTTCAAGTGGCAACCCCTTAACTTTCTCGAGCATTTAGGACCATTTTCAACCGTAGTTTTTAGCCATTCTGCTCTCATATGAAAGCTCAAAGACCCAGGGAGTTGATCCTGGCAAGGATTTACACAATCTCACCATTTTGGGGGCCAAACAAAATCCTTTTTCAAAAGATACTGCGGGGGGGGGACACTTTTAATGCTAATGGCTGGCCAGAAATTGTCATTTGAATTAGTGGTCTGCACCCATATCGGCCCCGATTCAGTCCGAGATTCAGGGCGACATTCTCAGCCCGTGATTCGGGTTCATGTCAATAACAATAATCCATGTCGTAAATGGGGGCAATAATTCATCCAAGATTTGGTACGTACTCCATTCCAGGGTTAATTGAACGAATTTTTCTCTCCTTTTTTTTTTAAGAAATAGCATTCTTTCATGATGGGTTGAACATTAAGCAAATAACATTCACTGAAGGGAAATGTGTCATAAACAATCTAGTTTAATCGGTGAAACATTAGTCTCATTACTTTTATTAGGGAAACATGCTTTTCAACTATTTACAATCTTCAGTTATTCAATAGAGAATATTCTATCCTTGCGACTTAAGAAATGTGTATCACATATATAATTAAGTCATCTTATTTTTATTTTGATATTTCCAATTCCTTGAGCCCTGTCCCCAGTCCGTTTCAGCAAGGGCTGCATGCAACTGATATTTCTGCGTGAACACGACGGTTGAAGCATTTTTCAAGAATGCGTATTTAGACGAAACCACAACTGCCTATAAAAGTGTACCCTGCATGTTAGGCCTACAGGATACTTTTATTTTTATTCTATAACTAAAATTGTCAACCGCCTGGCCACACTTAATTTCAGTAAGGGCTATGTGTAATGGCTATTTCTGTGTCAAATGCCTCTTAAAGATATCCCATTTGAAGCATATTATTTTCAAGAATGCGTATTTTCTCATAATGTAGAAAGCCTACATAAGTGTACCCAAATATTTTCATTATTTTTCATTGACTGAAATTGTCAAACCCCTGGCCACACTTAATTTCAGTAGGGGCTATATGGAATGGCTATTTCCATGTCAAAACGCCTTTTAAAAAATCCCGTTTTAAGTATATTTTTATGGTGTTGCATTATTTATAAAGGCGTAACTTCCGTCAAAAGTGTACTCCACGTTACCGAATATTTTCATTTTTAATCTATAACTGTAATCGTCAGACCACTGGCCGCACTAAATTTCAGTAAGGGCTATATGGAATGGCTGCACGTTTCTGTGTCAAAACACCTGTCAAAGATATGCCGTTTTAAGCATATTTCAATGATGCTCACTTTCCATTATTACCATTTCCTGGATAAAGGAACTTTTCTGTGCGGGTTAACTGGGTGTATTAATGAAGAAAGGGTGTTTACACTTGAAAGAAGCCTGACCAAGTCCTCATTTGAACAACATAACGATAGCAAAAATATAAGTTCTTTTGAAACTAATACTCGCTCGCCTCACACACCAATATTCAGTGACCATGTCCAGTGTGAAGTATACCAGCAAAAAAAAAATGAGACCAAGGGGTACCCCCCCACATGTCCAATCCCNTTCTCTCCGTCTCATACCTTGCTGCATATGGTGTGAAGAGAGTTCTGTTGATCACTCAAACACAAAGCCAAAGAGGTTTTACACACAGTCGTACAGGACCCTCGACATCCGAGCCGAGGATCGATCAAGAGTTCTTGCCTCACTTAAGTGACACAAATCCTATAAATGTCCACACCATTTTGCAACCAGGATAAAAATGAGAAATCATCCCTGCACGCCAAAAATAATTAAATAAATACTTCACTTTTTTCACTTTTCAAGAAGGAAATGTATTTCTGTTCCGATAACAAACAAAAAGAGTATAAACACAAATGTACACAAATCAAAAGGTTGATTTTCAATTAATGAACAATAGTTTCCATTATTAAACAAAGACATTTGTAACCAATAATGAACAAAAGAGTAGTTTACAATTTACATGTTTTAGAAAGGAATAAACAATTTTGACATGAATTAACTTGAAATACAATTTAATTTACCAGTGGGTTAAAAATTTAAATGAACCCATGAACTGTAAAGAAACAAATTATTGACTGCAATTAGAAATAAACAAAATACAGGAAACGAGCACAAAAAGTTAGGATCCGTGTCTTTAGGAGGGAGGGGGAGGGGAGAAAGGGAAAGCACGGGGACTTGGCGACAGGATGTGGGCAGCTCGTGCCCACTGCCAGTCCCCGTGCAGGGTAGTGGGTGTGGATGACGACAAAGGTCGTCGCATCCCGCCGTGAATTGCGAGTCCTATCTGCACACCACAGACCCGGAAAGGGAAGTAAAAGACACTGACCCAACAACAGCAGAAAAAAAAGAAAAGATAAACATTTTGACTAACCAGGTCAGATCAACCACGTCAACTTATTGTTTTGCAAAAGAAAAAGAGCGTTGTTGATTGACCATTTAGAAAGAAAAATGTCAAGAGAATCATTGAACTTATAAAAATTATGTTCTAAAATAATCTTGACCTTTAAACGATAAACCCAAACAGTGAGAGGAGAACTTAAATTACTTCTTCTATATAACCAATAAATAATATTTTTGAAACTTATGATGAGGTATTAATTTGCCAGGCACACGGCTTCTCTGGCCCAGCCCTGAGCGTGGGAAAAAAAGCCCCCAATAAATGCCAAATTTCAGTTTGACGTCAGGGAAAAATGCACTGAAGAAGTTGATGAAGCAGATTTAGCGCCGGTGGATGGAAGGACAAGTGATGAAGAGGTGTTATATGGTGCCTCTCTCACCGCACCAGCCACAGACGGGAGTTATTGCCGGATTCAGATGGTGGAGAACAGGAAGAGACGGAAGTGTAAGTCTTAAAGGTTTGCATGGTGAAGAGGTATAATAGAAAGTAGGTTTGCAGTAGCACCATGGACATATCTCTTTTGTGAGTATTTGCGGTTCTGAAAAGAACCAGTGGTACTCGACGTTTCGAGCAGTAAGAATGCTCGTCATCAAAAGAATGCCGGATACTGACTGGGAGTGGAGCTTCAGTAGTCTGGTGGAGGATTCTGGAGACAGGGATTAGTCCGATGATGCGTGAAGGCGGGAAGTCTGGAGAAGGGATTAGGCTGGCTCGGTGATGCGTGGTGGAAACTTACTCAGGTGTGGCAGTACTGATGTGGGTGTGGATGGGTAAACATGGGAAGAACTGGGGCAGGGTGCCAAGGGTATAGATGACCCATGAGGCTGACTAAGAAGGGTTGAGGATGGGGCGCTAGATGTCACTGATGGTGAAGCCTGTGTCTTGCGGAACTGTTCTGTACTTGTGAACCTCAATTGCCTCACGAACACGGCGTGGATGCCATTGCTCTATGTTGGCAATGAGATGGGCTTGTTGCCAGTGGACTTGGTGGTCTTCAGTGCTGGAGTGTTTGATGATGGCAGATTTCTCGAGATCCCCCCGTCGTCCGTGGGCTCGGTGTTCATTGAGTCTTGTAGTGAGATTTCTGCCAGTTTCGCCAATGTACACCTTGCCACATTCGCAGGGGATCCTGTAGACCCCTGGCTTGGTCTTGTGGTCTTGTTTGTCCTTGTGAGACTGGAGAGTTGCTCGGATCTTGTTGGGGGCGGTATGGAAGACTTTGATGCCATGGTGTAGAAGGATGCGCTGGATCCGGTGGGAGGTATTGCCTGTGTAGGGGAGGGTGACAGAACTAATGTGCCTAATGGGTTGACCTTGGGTATAGGAGACCCGCTGGTCTGGGGGGGTCTAGGGTCTTGATCTGTCTTGACTTGAAACCGTTCCGCTGTAGTGCTGTGGAGATGTGATGGAGTTCTGGTTGTAGGTGGTCTTGGTCGCAGATGTTGTATGCTCGACGTACGAGGGTTCTGTTGACGGAGGCCTTGATGCTGGGGTGGTAGAATGACCGGTTGTTCAGGTAGCGGTCGGTGTGTGTTGGCTTCCTATACACTGTGCGGGATAGGGTGCCATCTTGTGATCTTGAAACCTCGACATCCAAGAATGCAATGCGTCCGCCTTGTTCCTTCTCCATGGTGAACTGGATGTCGTTGTGTTGGCTGTTGAGGTGCTGAAGGAACAGCTGGGGGTCTTGTGGGCTATGTGGCCAGACGACGACGGTGTCGTCCACATACTGGATCCATACGCTGGGCTTGAGGTCCGCGGAGAAGAGGGCTGTCTGCTCAAAGTCTTCCATGAACAGGTCTGCCAGAAGCGGGGATAGAGGCTATCCCATGGAGGTTCCGGAAGACTGCTCGAAGAATTTGTCTCTCCACTGGAAGCAGGAAGATGATACGCAGCTGATCAGGAGATCGTGGATTTGATGTGGTGTGAGGTTGGTCCGGTCGCTGAGTGAGTGATCGTGAAGTAACCTGTCCTTGGCGATGGTGCATGCTTCGGATGTGGATACGTTAGTGAAGAGAGAGACTACATCGAAGCTGACCATTGTGGGGCGTAGAGACAACCCGTCGATGAACTGGGCGAACTGGTCCGAGTTCTTGATATGATGTGGGGTGTTGCCGACCAGAGGGTGAAGGATCTTGGTGAGGTGCCTGGCAGTGTTGTAGGTGGGGCCACCTCGGGAAGCTACAATGGGTCGGAGTGGGATACCGGTCTTGTGAATCTTGGGCTAGCCGAAGAATCTTGGACATCTTGTACTGGAGGGTCGGAGCTGTCGGTATAGGGCCATGGAGATGCTGTCTGACCGTTGGAGGGCTAGGAGCTAAGCCTGGAATTTCTTTTGGATGGAAGGCATGGGATTCTTATGAAGGTGCCGGTAGGCACCCGACTCAAGAATATCCCGCACCTTACGGTCATAGTCAGCTTTGTCCATGACGACAGATGGAGTAATCTCTTTGTAGGCTGTTGATGTCTTGCTGTTCGGTCTTGGAGATGTTGGGCTTGACGGGCTTGTGGTTCTTGAGGGCTTGGCTGATGTGGAGGCGGGCATCGTCTGCAGCGCTCTTGTTCAGGTGGCGAAGGGCTGGCTCAACGGACTGGATGATGTCTGTTATTGGAGGCGCCAGTCCTCGGGTCGATAATGTCTTTGGCAAGACGAATACGATCCGCGAAGAGACGGGCGGGGAAAGCTGCGTGCCCGGCCGAATGATTAATTAACTTGAAATGATTAATAGGAAGATTAACAACGTGGTTGACCGAATCTGGGGGTCTTTCCACTCGAGCTCTCATGGCCATCCAAGCACGCAGAACCTCGCTATAGAAGAGAGGGACACTCGTGAAAAATTATCGAGGGCAATAAAGAAAATTTGGTACCCAAGTTTAGTTGTTTGTATTGTTGAAGATAGTGGGTCATTAAAAGAAAACAAGGATGAGAACTGAACTGAAGAAACCGCTGTATGCGATTGAATCTGAAAGCGAGGCTGCGTGCTTGGAGGTAGGCTAGGCCAAGTCCACCTTTGTCTGGTTTTTCATTATTTAAATGAACTTTAACGTAAAGAACATAATCGTCACAGATAACACTGGAGGCTAAACGTCAATATTTTTGTTTACAAGTGACACCAGAACCAGTGGCGTGTCCTGGAGCACAAAGGGGAGTGTAATTAGACCAATGTTTCCAACAGGGATGAGTGGCAGTGATATTATACGTCTCCTGCAAGAGAATAATATTGTAGCGGAACAGTTAATTATTAGACAGTTTTACACATTAGACAAGTTTATGGACGCTGGTGCACATGCTCAAGCTCGCCGTGTTGCGCACAAATTGCGTAGGGCGTTGGTACCCGGCGCGGGTATATAAGCGCGTGACTTGCGTGCGGTCTGCCTCTTCCGTCCCAGCGCTCTTTCGGGCTGCACGCTTGCTGACGCTGCGCCGCACTTTCCCGCTCTTTTTGTGCCCATCCTCCGCGTTCGTGCTCTGGTGACTGGGTTTGCACTGCGTGGAGCTGAGCCGAGTACCAGGGTGAGTTGAACCCTTAAGTGGAAGCAAGAAGGAGGAATCTGCCCTGTAAGTTATTGTTGAGTTGTCCGCAACCCAGAAGCAGAAAAGACACCTGATTAGGGAGCACCTACGTGTTTAATGAATAAATACATTGGTCTGTCCCGAAATGTATTGGCTTGATCCGTTGGTTATTTGTACCCGACCCCCTTGTTCGTCTGTGGTGTGCGTGTGAGCGCGTGAGAGTGTGCCCTGGTGCCTGGTGGTAGACTGCCCCACAACGAGTCTGCTCCCCCGGCCTTCTTATTAGACCGCTCGTAGGACGGCCGAGGCCCTACTCAGGATACGTCCCCTTCCCAGGTTCGCCCGAAGAAAGTCGCCTACCCCAGGTGGACGGCAACGTTGGTGAGTCCAGGGGAGGATTCCGCCACAATATCACTGCAAGGAGAGACGCAATCAAAATATTCCCTCAAGGAAGTGTTGCGGGTTAAATTGCAACAACCTCCAATGTTAAGTGTGATAACTGACAGTGCCATTACCAAACAAACGTAAATCTTATAAAGCATAACAAGCAATTATTTTTTTTCTCTTTTACTTTCTTAATCAGTTTTTTAATCCTCTATTGAATGGCGTTGTGAAGAATTGAGCTGTTTCGGAGTGGTTTGAGTTGTCTGACAAGTCCGGGTAGATTTTGAGTAAATTTTGCAGCAATTTCTTCTGGCCTACGCTGATTTTTGACCGTGCTGAGAAATTTAACCAAGTCACTGTGATTGAGGGGTTGGTTCCCCATTGGGAGGACTGAAGGATAATGTTCATCATCATCGTCCCACTCGCTGTCATTGTCTGCCGAGGGTTTGGGCGAAATTGACATTCGGGTACACGGGGTTTCAGGAATAGCTAAGGAAGAGGAGGGAGTGGGTGTAGGGATGGGGTGGGGGTAAGGACGGGGACAGAGGGCGGGAACAGGGGTGGGTTTCGAGGTGGAGGGAGGGATGACGGTACTCGTAAGGGTAGGGTTGGGTTTCGGAGTTGGGGTAGTGTTTGCATTCTGAACAAAGATATAGGAGAACCCTCCAGCAGGGTGGGAGACTGGTGAGGGCATGGGTGTTTGTGCAGTATGACTAGGTGTGTCATCAATAGCCTGGGAAAGAGTGACGGAACTAGATTTCTGCAATTTGTGTGGGACTGGTAATTTAAGAGGGATCAAACGTGGTGTGTTTTCAGGTTTCTCGGGAGAGTGCTTACGCTTAGTGATCGCCTCAGAATAGGCCTATAGTCTTCTCGGAGCAGGTGGAGAACCCCAAACGCTCTGAGAAAATTCCATGGTGTCCATGTCTGTGTCGTCCACCTGACTCGGGGACGACGGGGCAGACACAACGACAAGCTCACTGGGGCCCCGAGGGCGAGGCGGAGGAGACCCGAACGGGGCAAGCCCAGCGGCCCAACTCCCGCCGCTACCAACGGCGGGCGATCTGGCCCTTGCCGAAGCCCCACCGGGAGCGGGGACCGCCGGCCAAGCCAGCCCCGACCGGGCGCAGCCTGCCACGCCCCGAGTGGGGGAGCCGGGAGCCTTAGGAGAGTCAGCTTTCTTTTTTGTAACAACCGGTGGAGGGTTTCCTGGATTCTGAACATTTTGTGGTTTTTCTTTCTTGCAGGAACGACTGATATGCCCAAACTCTCCGTAGACAAAGCAGCGGATTGACTCAGTAGTGAGGAACACACGACAGTTAACCCCAAGATAGGAGAAATTAATGTGATGGGGGGGGGGAGAAGATTGGGTTTGAAAACTACCTCAACTTATCGACGGAAAGACATGATGTGGCTGAGATCTTTGTTTTTTGCTCCAACAGGTATGGGCCATATTGGGGAGACTACCTTGCAAAAATCAGACAAATTTTCAACTAACACGGCATTGGGTATTTCAGGGTACACATTGGACAACGTGAGTCGAGTGGATGGTTGTACCAGCGGGCTTATTTCCAACAATGAATTTGCCGTGCAACAAGCCTAGCGTAACTGCATCGGCAACGCTGTCCCAGGATTTTAAATAGACAGCAATACGGCTTTGTGAAATGCAACTAGCGTAACAGACATGCATTTCAGGAAAACGCTCAGTGAAACTATTTATATAGTCGTTAAGAGGAATGTTCTCTTTTGCATGGAATGTAACACCATTGCGTCTGGTGATGTCGCCGGAGGGTCCATCACCAGACACAGCGGGCCGGGCGTGGCCGTCCAGGGTCGTCCCTGTCGCCCCCGAACGCATGCCAGCGGCCGAGGGACTTGCTCGACTGGCCATGGGGACCAGCGAAGCAAGGAACCCCGCCAAGTACAACCACACACTAACCAAAATGACCCTGAAATTTCACCAAAACTAAACAAAAACAAAGAGGACTTGGTCTAGCAAATATCTATATTCACTATTCAACAATTTTTTTTACAAAACCAGTGACCAATCGAGGTCAGAAAAGGAAAATTTTCAACGACAATTTTCAACGAGCTCGAGGGAACACACGTCCGCTGCTGATATAAATAAACAAATATGTTAATTTTAGTATCGATGAATTTCTAAGTGATGTACTTTTAAGGGATAATTACGTTTCGATTTATGCTCATGCCGACACTAACCATGTTTATATTTCCATTAATTGCTGGATTTATGTTGTTTTGTTCTTTGTACCGGAATGATTTAGACGGCCGAGTGACAAAGATTTATTTTCATTTGAAGAAAATTGTGTGTGTGTGATTTGACTTGTTTTCGTTAAGTTCGATTTTTATTTTTATGTAATTGTTTTGTACAAATATTGAAATGGAGGTGAGTATCGGGAGATACCCGAAGGGCCTAGAGGGCCGAGATGAAAGTGGTTTGGTTTTGATTGGATTTACATGTATTTTAGTTTTATATTAAACTTTGGAAGACCTTGGATATACCCGGGAGATAACCGAAGGACCTAGAGGCTGAAACGACAGTGAATCTAAATTTTCAATTTAGGAATGTATAAACTTCAGTTGGAATTATTTTAAGGAACTACGGCTGTAGACGGAAAATAGAGTTGAAATGCACTCAGCCGCTCTGTGACGGCCCCCTCCCATGCTTTAATAAAATTTTGAGATGTAAATTCGTATTCTTCGTTTTTGCCTTCTGTAATCTCTGAGTTCATTAGAAATAAACTGTTTTTCATGCGTATGAGCGCACCGAAGTAGCATGAAAATCCACAATTTATAAACCTCGCTTCAGCACAACGAACGTTCTGATCGGCTACTTGCACCTGCGCAGAAGTGTCTGCGTGCAGCACCACAACAAAAACAGGTCTGTTTCGTGCTCGGCCTAGTTTGCAACATAAATGATGAATTGTTTGAATTCCTCATAAGAATGCACTTCTAAACTTCCTCGTAAAATATAAATATCCTTGCAAGATTGGAAGGGGAGAAATTCTCGTATCCAAGACGTCCGAATTTGGTCAGCGTGACGTTACCTAATAAATATTTATGTTCAAGTAACACTTTGAACATTGCGCCCTGCAGCGAGACTTCGTGCAAAGATCTCTGATAATCTATTGGACGCAAAGCGATCACGTGTGACCTATGTCACACATTTCTAGTAATTAGCCACATTTACATTTCATGCTTCAGCAATTTTTCTGTAAAAGGAAACAAACAAACAAACAAGTGGCAGTGGAAAGAACAACCCCATTTTATATACATGCAGCAAATAGAATCTAGATGTTACAAAGGGCCAAGTTTGAAACAAAATACTCAAGTGATACACCTTCATACACTAAAGGCCATGGTGCAATTCAAGTGAAACTCAATTTTATTGGCATCACCCCCATTACCTTACAATTCCTGTCTGAAAAACAGGCACGAAATTATTTTCAGTCACTTTCAAAATAACGGGATAGGACCATTAATCTTTTGGTTATTTGTGTAAGGGTTACGGTCTTTCACATAACCATGATCAAGTTTACTCAGAAGTGAAGAAGGTTATATCAGGAAAACATACCCGTAAGTTTTTTAAAAGAGCGTGCTATGTATTGAGCTCTTTCTACCAATAGAAATCCCTTCTGAGCTCTTGAAAAGGAGGATGAGTGCAAATTCACATGATGGAGCTTTCCGTTAAAAAACACAACACTGCATTTCCTTGATTACCATTATTTCGGAATTTAACTTCAATAAAATCTGACCAAGGTGAATGGATAAATCATCTTTCTGAAAATAGTTCGTGATACCTGAAATTCGAAGGTGGGGGTCGGTATTTTATTGCTTCAGATTGCTTTCGTGCTCAAGTCGAACAAAACAAGACTAAATCGATTACAGCTTTAAAAATGGAATATGTCCATTCTTCATATTGCCTTAGAAGGTATAAGCATCATACAATTACTTTTACTTGCTGAACAGGAAAGCATGATTGTGAAGTCATGATGATTTTCGTTGGGTTAAAGGTTTCTTTATATTTAATTCTTACAAGGGCATTTGTAAAGAGCATGACCTAGAGTGGCTTCCCTGAATCAAAGTGTTTCATTTCAGAGTTCAGTATTTCTTGCAGCTACATTTGTTTTGCCAATACAGTGTGTATTATATTATCCCAAGGAAACAAGAGCCACTTCACTTATTCCTTTTAACCATGTTCACTTATGTCCAGCATCTTTCGAATGAGATAATCTATGCTAGGCTGGAGCGTAATCAAGAGGAAGGTCCATCATCTAAGACCTGCTATCCCTCTGGCTGAAATGAATACCGTGTTGTCAATACACCTGTCAGTCTACACTGCAGTATTTTTTTAATAAAGATAAATACATGTACGTGTACAGTTGTTAATTGTTAATGCTACGAGGAGCTCATTCACAAGGGAAAGGTTTTTCCATGGGGTTGCATTTTGCTTTTTTGGCAAACATTGGAAAACTTATCTCAGACAAAACAGAATTGAAGTAAGTTTTTCTCAAATCATTTTCAAAAGTTAAATAACGCTAGAAAAAAAAAACAAATTAAAAAAAAAACCGAAATGTAGCCAGGGATGTTTTCTTGAATGTGATTTATTATCTTAAACATCACTCGATCCTTGTGCAATTTGTTGATTTGAATATGCCCATAGTTCTGTCATCAGCTGATTGCCTTCTGCTTTTGGCTGAAGATCTGGAAAAAAACAGGATCAACTAATAGCACAATATGATTGCGTAACTGTGCTGATCAATTAATCATGGCCAACATGTAAAGTGCGGTCATCATTCATGACCAATTTAGAGTAACAGACATTATTTCAAGTACCAACTTTTTTTAATAGGTGAACACTGAGAAATTCAAACAACATGCATAATACAAAGTTGCCATGCAATATCACACTTGTGTTTTGTTCAGATTTGCATGTCATTATGACTCATGAAAGTACATGTACATACACTTACTGGTGTCGTGGGAGGTCCAGATTTTGAGGGGCCCTGTTTTCGCGTCCTACGTTCTGCGTTACGCTGCGCTACGTAAAATACCTTCAGACTTGCTGAAGATCTTGGAAGCATATGGGCACCTTGCAATTTTTTTGAGTTATTATATCGCCACGGCGAGCATCTCGCTGCGGCAAGTTCGTTGAATGTGTATCTCGCCGCGACGAATTATAAGATCTTACCGCGGCGTCAAATTGATATCCCGCCGCAGCGAATATAAGTCCTATTCGACGTGCCGTTTTCAAATGTGTCTTTAGGGTGAAATGCAGCGAGATTTGGTTTAAGATTACTTATTGTAACAAAAGGGATGCTACATTTCATCCAAGCTTGATTTCCTACACACAAAAACAAAAAGGAAATATCTTTTGGGGGTATGAATTTCCTTATGCGCAAGTGGGGTAGACTACTCAAGTTGACTCCCGGGTAGACTACCTGTTGAAAGGATTATGGTGGCTTTCCATTTACACTTTAAATAATCCTACTTACATACCTGCCAAAAGGGGACCATAAAAAGAAAGAAAGAAAAGAAAGAATGAGAAAACAGGAAAGGGATGAAAATTAGAAATTAAATAGAACATAACTATTTGCTTGAGAACTTAAAAGAGGAAAACCGAACCTACTTAAACAAATTCTCGCGACGCCCATGCATATTTTAGGCCAATGTGTGTTGCCAATTCGGACCAAACCTGGATGCTGATATCATTCTAACATTACAATCTGCTATAATTGAGGAGATTCCAGCAAGCATCAAGAAAAATGAAGTGAAGGTGAAAGGAATACTAACACACACTTTTTCATCAACTTGATTGAAATCCCCAGGCTCTTTGACCTCACATCCATGCCTTCACTTGTCACAAACCACCCAACCGTACAGTGCATGGCGCTGGGAAGGACAAGTATATAACATTTCTTGGTCGAGAACATATTGGATGGAGTCTGTTACTTAACATCTAAACACGGGTCGACACTTCCGGCTGCGCGATGCGTATGACACGTGTGCACTTATATATGATGTTCTATAGCCGCGAAAATTGCGTCGCGTCGTCCCGTCGCCCCGACACGACGCTACGACGGCTCCGTCGCGTCGCGGCGTCCTGTCGTGGCTTCGCCTCCTTTCTCATTACTCATCGCGTCGTGTAATGAGAATTCCGATAAAAGTTCAAAATTAAGTGTAACTTTCAAGTCCACTTACTTGTGTTTCGCACTAGGAAAATGTGGGAAGGAATTAAACACAGTTTACTCCTCATCTGAATGTGAAAATTCACACCACAAAATAAGATTTCGTTGTCTTTGTGTTGTAAAACAAACTTGCATGAAATGTAACGTCCATTTTTGTTCCAGTTAGCAATTTAAAACCAAATCTCAATGCATTTCATCCTAAAAATACATTTGAAAACAGTGCATCTAATAGGACTTACGAAACTATTATAATATTCTCTGCAGCGGGATATCAATTTGACGCTGCGGCAAGATCTTATAACTCGCCGCGGCGAGGTACATATTTAACGATTTAACTCGCCGCGCGAGATAGTATCTCGAAAAAAAATTGCAACTGGCTCTTATACGCTTCCGTACGTTTCCGTACTTCCGTACGTTTCATGTCATGCATTCGGCCGGAACGGGGATCTGCAGTGTATAGCGCCCTCGTGTCTTCATAACTGGTACTCCGGGGCAGCGTAAGTAATGAGACAACATAAGGGACCATCTAATTCTGGAAAGGTCAGAGCCCCAACATAGAATTAAAATGCGTAGTGTTTGGTCTAGTTTCCTGAGAAGTGTATATTCGTCCATTTTCGTATTTTAGGGCTGGTTACAAATGTACCATTATGACACTGTGTTGTTAATTATACCAGCTGCGAATTTGTGATGTGAAAATATTTTGATATTCTCGTGTAATTGCGTTGTAAACTGCGCATTTCTTGCGGGGAGTATATCCTGCTATTTTCTGTCGTGACAGGACTAAATTTAATCCGTCAAGATTTTTCTGGGAGTGCATTCCAAGATGCCGTTGCATCAACTAGCCGACCCGTGGCAGAAGGTCGCCGTAAAAGAACATGCAGAGGTGGGTACAATATACATGTATATCGGTCATGCGTCATGACGGTACACAAACGCTAGATCCGGCGTAGCCCCAGACTACTTCGGGAACTCAAACAAAGTCACTCCTCCGTCATACTCCGTGTGACTTACAGCCAACACGGTGTGGTGTTTTCTGGTTGTAACGCAATGGGGTTTTGGAATCAGATTTTTGTGGTGAATCAAATAGGTGTAGTGTTTTTTGGCGGCCCATTCACCCTATCTTCGACTGGGCTTACTCAGACAGGTCGTCAAGGTATCTTGTTGGCCTCTGCAAAGCACTAGTGGGGTTAAGTAAGGTAACTGTCCCGAAAAACAGCACTTTGGTCGGTCAATTCCTCGGTTTGTCCTTGTACAGTTGTAAGTTCGGATTTGTCTTGCAGAGAGTGTGTGGTGTCAAAGGGCAATTAAGGACTGGTGTGCACATGCGCCAGGGCCAGGTGATACCAAATTGCTAAAAAAGGGGTGCTCCCCTTTGCGTGTATGGATCAATCACCCCTTCAATCCACTGATGTAATGTATTAATATGGGCAATTAGTACAGAACTCCCCCCATATATTTTGCCCTCCTCCCAAACCAGAAAAAATTGGGGATTTTGTTAGAGAGTATCCTATGGTATGAATATAAGCCCCAAATTTTGGGGATTGTAAATTTCAGAACCCCCTTGTTTTTAGTTATTACTACGCCTACATGTAGGCTACTTCCTTAGGCCTTACCGAGTCCATCTTTTTGATGGTTCCATACGCTGTGTATATGAAAGTGCCCTGCAATTGTCAGGTGATTGTCCCAGAGAAAACACCCGTTTACACCTTCTGAAGAAAATCTTAAAGACCCTATAATAAAAGCTAACCTATATGGAACTACTGGGCATCAAATAGAAAGCTGAGCTATGATTGGCCCAATTTGCTTCCATTCTAATGACCATTCATAACTCGGCTCTCTTTTAGAGGGGGTCAGGAAAACAAAAGGAAAAGATAAGAGCTGTGTTGTGATTGGTCAAGCTGTCACACAGCTGACAGTTATTGAGAGTACATGCTGCTGATTTTCTGTAGAGTGGATGGGCAAACGGCTCAAGAGTTTCACCATTTTAATGAGGATGTAAGATGAATAAACCTCCCCACCAGACATCAAATCAAATTAAAAGACAATTGCATACATGTACCTGTAAGATCTTTTGGGCTTAGAACATGAAATTAAACATTTTTGTATGACGAATGTTGCATGTGTACTAAGCTGCAATTTTAAAGATTTCAAGTTCACACTTTACAGGTTATAGTACACATGTAAAATCAAAAAGTAGCGAAATGAGTAGATGTACATGTATACCCTTTTAGATGATTGCAAAATCAAAGGAATGGGCTAGGAATTAGGCTGAGAGATTATCCTTTTCACTGAAATTTAAGACTAATGGCGTAATGCTTTTAAAACTACCGGTACAGTCTTACAATGTATGTTTCATGATAGATACTGTACATGTACATGCCATGGAAAGTATACAAGTGGAACACCCCCTTTAATTCCTCAAGCAACACAAAGTGAAACCAATTGATTTTACATACCTTGAACAAAGGTATAAAACACACACCTTTGTGTAGTCTTTGACAGTTCTTCTTTCTTGATGTGGATTACATGTACATATATACAACACCTAGAACTTTACTTGTCTTCATCAAAGCTCACACTGACATGACTTACTTCTGAATACTTGCAAAGCACGTTTGTCCACACATGACACATGTGGAATGGCTTTGGACCCTAATTATAACCTTATTAGGATGTATATGTCCAAATAGTCAACTTTATGCAAATTAGTAAAAAACAAAAGTGAAGCATATTTGGTACTTTTACAAAATGTTGGGGCCTCATTTCCATGTATGCAAATGAGGTGGTAGTGGTTTCTGTACAGTGTAAAAGCATTGCATTGCCAGCAATGCATAGTTCTGACAGTGTCGGACGTACACGGTGTCAGATGTACACATCTGATTCTACAATTTTTGAGTATTTGAAAAAATAATTGGGGGAGTTAAGCTGATGTCTAGAAAGAAGGAACTCATTGTGCTTTGTATGGTAAATTTGGCAGTCTTTTGCTAAAGGGTGCACTGAGGGGATAAAAAAAATTTTGGTGTTGGACGTACATAAGAAAGGTACATGTAAGTGTTATAAAATAAGACATTACGTAGAATTTCAAAAGGAAAATGAAAATTCATTTCTCTCATTGTTTACTTATTGGGGCACTCTTTAAACTGTAACAAAACTGGAACAAAAAAATTATTATCAGGCTAAAAAACAAAAAATCTTTCAGAGGGGAAATATTTTCCCCAATTTATCGGTATTTAAAACCAATTTTTCAGTATCATATAAAAGCCAAATTCTTGAATGTTGTTAGAAATGAAGTATGTTTCATGAAAGTATTCACCATAAGCTTCAAAATGATGTATAATTTGTCACAATTGGACCAGTTTGAAATTTTGGCACAGAGGTTGATGTTTCCATGGAACTGCCCAGAAATCGAAATTTTCAACAGGTCAAGAAGTATTGTTTGTCTCTTAAATCTGCAAAATCATGGCAAGAGATATTCTTAGATGTGAGAAGCTACATGTACCTGTATTGTAGTGATTATAATGTACAATTGTGTCTGTTATTGCTACTGATTTTGTATGTGGTTTGTTCATTAACAAACTACTGGTCAGTACAACCTAATATTCAGATATTCAATTGAATTGAATGTCATATATTCAAATAGTGAATCATTCGAATTTACTCAACCCTACACCTAACTAATGGAAACTGTCATTTTTCTTAAATGTATATATATATTTGTAAAGATAAATAAAACAAATTTACAAATGCAACTTGGTATTAGATGTGTGCTTATCACAAAATGTAACAGTTCTGAATCAACTTTTAAGTTTTAAATTGACAGCACAACTTTCAGTAACGGTTGAAAAAATAGAGTTGAAAAAGCCAAAGTTATTTTGCTAACAGTGTCCAGCGGGCTTAAGAAAATTCCTGCAGGCTTTGTAAGTAGAAAGTAGGTTAACTTGCCCAATGGGTTAGCTAAAGAAATGGCGAAGATCAAAGCCTGCACTATACTTGTAACCTTCAGACATGTACAGTAACATTACCCCTGTGGAACATAGGTGAAAGTTGAGAGTCCATTTTGTCGAAACAGATGAATTCAAGTTCCTGAACCAATTTTATTGATTAGGAAGAACAATATGAAAAGTTCAAAATAGGAGATGAAGTCCAAAAAGATGTTAATAAACCCCTCTAGCCACAACCAGAAGACCGCTGACATTACATTTTGTCACTTTTTTCTGCATGTACCTCATGTACCATACGTACATGTACTGGGTACATAACGTACAGTAAAAATGCAGCATTGTTTCCTAGACACACAGTTCACATGTATTCACATGCTGACCTATTTTTAGAGGAAATAATTTTTCCCCATATTTGAGATTTACATGTACCCAAGTTTTGAACCATGAAAAAGTCAAACTGACGGAAACTGATACTTGCTATGTTCTTCCTTCCACAGGGCAAAAGCAGCGAGGAAATGCTAGTTGACAACACAAATGAATCAGTGAGTATACATGTACCGGTACCATACACTGATTGCAAACCTTACAATTAAAAAGAATCTTGGCTAATCCCTCTCATTTCTTAATGGGCTTTCTCTTGTTGGTGTGGAGGGATTGCAGGTGTCCAAAGATACGAGAACTAAGTGGTTTGTTTTTTTAACAGATGGCCTTAAGCCTTGAAGGTATAACAGTAATAATACCCTGTGTGTCAGCTGTTTTTCTTGTGTTGATACAGTGCATTTGTAGATTTCATACAACACTTGACTAAATCCCTGATTTGTGGGTTATTGATGACATGTCAGTGTCAATGGTGGGACCATTAAATGTACTCTATTAAACATACAGTACATCTACTATTGTCATACATGTACTGCTGTTTTGGATACTGTCTGTTCATTAGCCCAGAACGATCACATAACAGGGTGATATTGTGCATATCACACTCAAAATGAAAAATTTTATTGTGCCGATTGCATGTGCACACACACACGAAACAGAAGAGATTCAGGAAGTCCAAGAGTGACCGTTGTTGCTCGTTTAGTCCGTTTTGTGTGGTACCCATGATGCGTTTCGCAGGGGTCGACATCAAGCATTCTTGCCCAGAAGCTAAAAACAGCTCCTGGCCTTTCAAATCTCAGATGTATTTTAGGTAAAGTCATATTAGATCAAAAAATAAAAGTTCTGCTTTCGATTACATGCCTCTCAAAAATAGGGTCAGTAGGTCGGGAATTTTTGGGGGTCAATTTTTCTCTGCTAATAGAATGGCATATATGTATGGCATACAATGGGGATGAAAGCTTCCAAAAAATTGTCTCAAATAGTGATAAAAAGTGATATAAAAAAAATCTTAAGCCTCGTAAAATTTCTATAGTAGACAATTCAATCTCATGGTGGCCTGAAGGGTCAGTGGGAAGTGCACCGCACTGGCCCTTGTGAAAATTTGGTGGCCCAGATTAAGTACATTTAATGAAATCGATCAGGCCCACCACACATACCCAGATTTGCGTCAGGCGAACTTCTCTACCAAAACAGGTGGTTGGCAAGCCTGGCTGGATTTAAATGCATGGTTTAAGGCCAAAAAAACTAATACTGATTTAGGTTACACGACGGATCCTAAATTTGTTCACCTCTAACCGCTATACCGGTACTGGTATGTCTGTGTGGCACACAAGCCAGGCACATGAAAGCAGGCAGTCACAGCTGTACGGACTGTGAAATTATACTGTGAACTTGAAATAGCTGTACCGGTGATTTGAAACATGAGTCATAAAATGCAATGAAAGTTTTGAAATGTGGCAATGTTCCTCAAATGACAACTGTCCTGCTGGACCATCATTTTTGGAGAATGCAGTGGCCAGATGAATTTTTCGTTGAACCCCAGGGATTGGGGATCACCGTTAACCTCGACCCCTGCTGTACATGACAGTCTCAGAACTTCCCAGAAGGAGAGTTAGGATGGCGTAGTGGTTCTTTCTTCACCTTCCACCTCTGTGGCCCAGGTTCGAATCCCGGCTCTGTCCACATGTGGATTGGGTTTTCAGTCCCTACCTAATTACATGGGTTTTACCCAGAATATTCCTCTGGGGTTTCCTCCCAACTCTGAAACTGTAACCATGGTAACTGCTTCTTATTATGTCATTTCTACAGATTTCTTCAAGGCTTGTGAGCTTACAGTGCCTAGGGCGCTCAGTTGAAGAATCCTTAGTGTCATTATTTGAAATTAAATGATAATATTCTTACCAGGTGGTTGGTCAACTAACATGTAATAGGCAATACAGGTGTGCTTCTGTACAAGTGCTATGACCAGTACACTAACTGGAATCAAATAACCAGTATTTGATGAAATAACATGGTTGCTTCCTACATGTACATGTACATTGAATATGTACTGTGTGTGTAGCAACATACTGTACTGGTACATGTACGTACACACACGTGATAGTGATACAGGTATACTGTATCATACATGTACAGTATGTAGTATTTACATACATATATGTGTACACACTACGGTACCTTGCTTTATACAGATGGGGTCCTTGTGTGCACCTTCACCTGATGACTTTTCTTTTGTCTGGCTTTTGTTGTCATTTCCTTTGGTGCACCCATGCAAGACCCTGTCATGGTACATGTACATGTAAATGACCTTGTCATCCGGAAAAGGAAAAATTAGTATTCAATTATCACAGTAGACCCATGAACTGATATATTGCATGTACATGCAGTATACGGTACCTGTATGGTTCATTAACTCTCTGTGTACATGTTGTTTGTATGAAAGTTGTAATTAGCGGTAGACACAGTAAGCACCCTTGTACATTGCATGCATGTACCTAATATGTACATGTACTGGTACCAATGCATAATGGAAATGTTGCTCATATTACTGTGTCTGCAGTCTTCACATATGGTCCATGTTTTGTAGGAAATTACTGCATACTGGTATCTGTCGGTGACTCGGTGTATACATGTAAATGTGGCAGGTTCCGTGAAATATGGACCTCTAAGTAATTTTATTTTGTTACTATTTTTTATTAATCAGAAACACACACAAAAAAACATACATTAGAAAGTAAAAGCAAGAATCATACAAGTTAAGGATTGGAAAAACAGGAGATAATTAGAAAGTATCATAGAAAAGGGGGCTATGAAGAGATGTAGAAAAATAGGCACTGTGTATGTGCATGCACATACACGTACATGTACATTTGAAATGATTACATGTACATAGGGTCAACAGAGTTAGAATTGAAATTTCCATTTTTTATAATGAAGACTAAGGTTTATAATGAAGACTGAATGTTGTTTATTTTGCCCAAAAGATTCTCAGGAGGATTAGATTTCCACAAAATGTCTATGTTTGGGGGAAAATTAAACAGAGTCAATTTCTATAGTTTTTCATAAACTGTCATAAGAATCATCAAGCAAAATTAACCCAAGCCTTTTTTTGAGCTTGACAGAAAATGAAATGATCTATCGTACGAAGACCCCCAAAAGAATAACCTGTGTACTGTACATAATTTTCTGTTTCACTCCATCATTTCCATTATTCCAGTTGAATTTGAAAAATAGTTTTCCAATTCTTTAAAGAATGAGGTCTTCTATTTTTTGATACAAAGAACGGAGAAGGGATAAAGCAACCAGATCAGATTTAGAAAAATTAACCTTGCAACCAGAGTAAGTGGCAAATTGATCGAGGGTATCGAAAGGATTATCAAAAGAAACTTACGAGCCATCCCCCAAAAACAAGTGGTATCATCAGCTAATAAAGAAACGTTTAGTTCATACATGTTATCCCCAGGAATACAACTCATATTGTATTCCCAAATTGGCTGGGTCAGAAAGCCATTATTAATAACTCAGGTTTTTGCTGCAAAGCAAATGCGAGCCTACAGTATGTAATGCCGATTTCCATCTTCTGTCCATCCGTCTGTCAGGGCAACCTTCCTCAACTGTTAAAGTTTTTCCTTGCAGGTCCATAGGTGTTAAAATGTGCTACTGAGTGCTTGTTTGCTTCCTCTTGGAATTCCATCAGTGTGTAAATAGTCTTACATGTACATGTGTACATGTACATGGCATCATTGCCTATAAACTTCTGAATTTAATAGAAAAATTATACGAGTTGAATGTTAATGTTTTGAGTTGTACATGTACATGTATTGTGTACTAACCCTGTAGTACATACAGTACATGTACTGGTGTACACATGGGCTTTAAAATACACCTGTTGACAAATATACTGCATTTTCTTTCTTGTTGAGGGAAGTTTTGAATCATGTCATCTGGTGTAAGTGAACACTTTGACTTAAAAATTTAAACAAGTTCAACTCAATTCGATTTGCACTAGTAGCCAACCAAATGTCCACCAAATGTACACAGTCTGCCTAATTATCCCCAAATAATCATTTTCATAAATATGAAAGTGCTATTTTGTGTTTTACATGTAAATGACCAAAGTCAGTCTTTTGAAAAGTTTGAAAAATAATATGTGGAGGCTTTGCATTACTTTTGGCTAATTTTTCAAAGAACATGCCATACGCATACATGTCCATGTACAAGTCATGTACTGGCATGTGAGTGCATGTTTGTACATACATGTACTGGTACCTGTACATGTAATTATTCAGTTACTCCTTGGATAAATGTTCAGTCATTACCCGGTGCATGTACAAGTACATGTACTACATTGTAAGGTGGTAGTGGTGGTGGTGTTCCTGTGGTGTACGCATTTTGTGCTTATCAGGATGTACATGTAGTTTACAAACAAATCACCACCGATGTACATGCATACAGTTGTATGGCAGGTTCCTCAAAATATGGACCATTAGATAATGTTCAACTTTGGGGGCTCATTTTTCCTGAAGTGAACAGCAGTGAATTAATTTCCAATGTTTGATGTATTGAGGGAAGTCATGGCTGATATCTGGAACAATGATGATCGTGTCAACCTTTCAACTTAGTTGGAGTTAATTAATTAAAGTCTCGAACGTTAGCAATTTTGAGGGACATGAACTCCCTGTTAAAATCCGAGCAAACAGAATTTACTGAGGAGTGATAATCCCCGAGGTTATTTTACACAGATTTATTTGTGGTGAAAGGTGATAATATTTACACATATTAAAACCATAATCATGAAATTAAAAAGTACCTCTCACAATTAATCGGGTCCCGAAGTCGGCAGTCGCAAATGTCATTGGATTCTGTCATGAGTGTAAAAAAAAATTTGACGCAAAAAAAGCGAGTAAAATCCATATATCGATGTACAACACAAGCTTTAAAAAAGAGTGCAAAAAAGCACCGCCAAACCATCATCCTTTTACAACTGGACCGATCACATTTTCTTCTTCAAGTATGTTCCTGAAAACCGCAGTCCAAAATACCGATCGTAGCGATTTTGCGGCTTCCATTGATCTTTCACGGTGACTTTAGAGAAACATTTTGCTGCATTGTGGCCTGTTTAACCTTTGACATCAACCCAGATAGTGCGCCCTCTTTTTTATTTGATATTCATAAACCCCCTAAATGGAATGGCGACGATCCGCGATTTTTCTCTTCGGAACAATTTTTCTCAAAAGAAAAACCGTCATTCTGAATAACGTTTTAAAAAAATAACGTTCGAGACATAAAATACGATTCATGATGAAAACCTAATGCTCAGAGTTGTTGATTTTATTTTCAGCGGAGTTATCTCCAAAATAACCGGCAAAATGAAAATCGCGCATGGAATTTTCGAGCTCAACATGTGACAGCATTTTCGGCATTCTCGAACGTTATGCAGTTTCTGTCAAAATTATCGAACGTGATCAAAATTCTGTCAAATATAACATTCGCAACGAACATGTTGCACTCGTTATAAATTTTTGATGCCGCCAAACTTAAAGATAATTTTTGGTGGTCGAAATATACAAGACCTAGCAAATATGTTGGTATAGTGGGAGTGATTATAAACAGTAAGAGAATGAAGAGAGCCAAACTTTTCTCATCATTTGCCGTCAATTTTGTGCTCTTTTTTTCGTGGCTTATATTTTGTAAAAGTTACATGTATTTCTTAGGTGCTTTAAAATACATCAGCCGAAAAATATACCGAATTCTCCTTTTTGTTGAGAGAAGTTTTGAAATCAAATCCTCTGGTGTAAACACTTTGACATAAATCTTTAAATGAATTCAACTCCATTTGATTTGCACTGGTAGCCAACCAAATGTCCACCATAAGTACATATTATGCCTAATTATCCCCATATAATCATTTTTATAAATATGAAGGTGCTAATTTGTATTTTACATGATCAAAGTCACTCTTTTAGAAATTTTGAAAAGTGACAGCCGAGGTTGCATTTTGGTCCATTTTATGAAGAACATGCCATATGTTCATGTACATGCATGTATTTTGGGGGTGCTTTTGGATGTGTTTAGTAGTAAAGCTGCTGAAAGCCGTGATTGTTGTACATGTACAAGAATTGAAAAAAAATCATGGGGGGGGTGGAAGGAATCCAACAGAAGGAGCCACCAAAGGTTGGATGTACGGTATCTTGACTGAAATGTGCACACATCATGATTGAGCTACGTTAGCCCAGGCTAACCATACAGATGGCTTTGTATTCATACAGTAGGTAATTTTATGTTAAATTAACCCTAACCCCCTAGGCTCCTGCACTAGAAAGCATACTGAGCCTCAC